CATTTGTGAAGATCCAATCTAAACATATGTTTCTTGCGTTTGGAATGAAATTCCTTTGATAATAATTTAGAAAACCATAACATTGAGCTAGGATCAACACTTTAGAACCTAAAGGGCAATTAACTGAAACTCCAGTTTCCTCATTTGACCAATCAGCCTCGGGAAAGTTAAAATCACCAAAAATCAATGCCCTCAAAAGATTGTATTTCTGCATCACCTCCTCAACCGCCTGACAGTGTCTTACATAAATTGCCTCCTCTGCTTGGGGTGGGATATAAACGCCTCCTACTATGAAGTACTCCTTTCTTCTTGAGCATAGCAAAAACAGCTGCTCGACTGACCTTATTGATAACATCACCTTACTTGCCTTTATCGAGTTTTTCATTAAAATCAGTACCCCACTTCCCCTAGCCTTGGAGCTTGATTCACAACTGCGATTACACCTGGAAACTTTATACGAATTGAAGATCAACTCAGAGTCCAAAATATCTTGCGAAAGGCAGCTTTCAACCAGGATTATGATATTGATAATTAGAACACCACACTGATTTTATTGGATCATGTATTTTTGTACGAATCCCACCAACATTTTGGCAGTAAATTTGTAATGGGGTGTCTCCTAATTTTTCATTTCTTTCTCCTCTATTGTAGGGATACCTCTTCTATATCTGATGAACAAATTCTCCTCACCATTTGCCTTTCTTCGTGGCAACTTTTCCTTCACCTTTTTGAACAACTCCTGTTGCATTTTTGTCTGATCATCTTTGATTTTGATAGGTGTATTCATCAATTTCTGTTTTGGATTTCAATATTTGCTTTACTATTTGGCTATTACAGAATATCACTTTGACAGGCTTATGTTTTGGACCACCTGAACGACCAACTCGAATGACTTTCACAACTTGGCTGATAGTCCCACTCATTTCCATAGACTCCATTACTCTTCTGATCTTCATCTTGTCCTCTTCAATTCTTTCACTCAATTCACTGGATATATAATATATAAGTTTGAAAATGTCCTTATAGGATGAAACTGCAGTAACGTTAGTTACAAATGAAAGTGGTAAAAACAGTTTCAATTCTCTTTTCTTCAATCTTATTGCTCATAGCTTATTGAATTCTTTTGATAGCAATTCATATCCTTATCTTTTTATATGAAACAGCTACTTCTATGTAAACATTGAATTGCACGAAAGAAAAATTCTTTCGAAACCAATTATTTTATATGAACACTGAATTCTACAAAAAACACATTTTTCTACTCAGTTTGTATTCCAAGCAAAGGTTATGGAATTAAATCATTCCCACATTTTTTTGTATCAAGATGGAGTAGTAGAAAGCCAAAAACTTTCTTTCCCAAAAATTAGTCACTCCCAAAAATAAGACTCTTTCAATTTATAGCTTTCTTTTGATATCCGTCAAGAACAAATAATTTCAAGTTTTGTAAAGAAAGCTAAGTATATAATTTTTTTCCATTCATTCATCAAATTTTAGGTTTTAAAATTTTTAACGCCCTTCCACAAAAACATAAAAATTTCATTACTTTAAAAACATTTAAAAGTCAAATGCGCAAATATTTAGTTTATCATTGTTTCTATTCTGTGGAAGAATGTTTGCTTCGTGGAAGTGCATGTGTGTGTGAGTATTGATTTTTTATTTATTTTTTTATCCGAAAAAAGGTAAGCAAACCTTGGATAACGAAGGGCATCAAAATATCAGCCAAAAATATGCGCTCATTAAACTACATTAAAAAGTTTCATAAAGAGGAATACCTACAAAATTATTGCAATAGGTACCGAAGTGTATATAACAGTGTCATAAAACAGGCTAAGCTTTCGTATTATCATACCAGGATTAATACTGCCTCCAATATAGCAAAGGAGAGCTGGATTATTATAAATGAAATCCGTGGAAAAAGCAAAAATCAAATCGATTAAATCAATTTGAAACCTGACTGTATCAACGATTACTATTGCTCTATCGCAACTAAACTTACTAATGACATTTCCACTAATATTCATAATAATCCAATGCAATATCTTGAGAATGTAAGAATTGACGAAAACTTCTTTCTATTTCCAACAGACCCAGATGAAACAAAGAGTGCTATGAAGGACATTAAGAACAAAAAGGCATCTGGAGCTGATGGTTTGTCTATAAATATGCTGGAAAAATTGCCCCCGGCAGCTATTGACGCGCTTACTGATATAATAAATGAATCTTTTGTATCGGGAACATTTCCAACTATACCATGGGATCACCAGCCATGGTGATCCCAATTTACAATGGAGGGGATAGGGAGGATCCATCAAATTACAGACCAATATCCCTTCTATCTACTATTGCAAAAATCATAGAAAAATTAGTAAAGAAGCGACTCATGTCATTTGTCATTAAACATAAAATACTAAATGGTAACCAATACGGTTTCCAAACCAACAAAAGTACAAATGACGCTATCTTTAATTTTTTAGAAAACGTGTACACTAATCTTAATAATCAAGAAGCGACCGCGGCGGTGTTCTGTGACTTATCCAAAGCTTTTGATTGTGTGAATCATGGAATACTGCTGCAGAAGCTTGAGTACTATGGCATCAGAGGCATATCCCATAAATGGATGACATCTTACTTGCAAGACCGGGAACAATATGTGAAAGTTTCGGGTGCAGTATCTGAGAAAAAAAATTGACCAGCGGACTTCCACAAGGTTCTGTCTTGGGGCCCATATTATTTCTGCTATATGTGAATGATCTCACGAACTTGAATATTAGTGGTAGGTTCACTTTATTCACAGATGATGCAACTATAGAATGGCACACTAAAGATAAGAATATTCCCAGCCAATTGATCTCTTTAGATTTGACTGAAATAAAAAGGTGGTGCGATGCCAATCAAATGATCTTCAACTCTAATAAAACTAAAGTGTTATCATTTAAATGGGACATCGACAAAATACAATCATGAAATCTGATAATTACAGATTCTTAGGTGTTGTATTGGCCATAATTTAAAGTTTGATGAGCATATTATGGCAATGGCAAAGAAATTGTCATCTGGGTGTTATGCTATCAGAGTTATTAGAAATGACATCGGTTATCTTATTGCTAGAAAAGCATACTTTGCTCTCCTGGAATCTCACATCAGATATGGGATAGCATTTTGGGGAGCCTGCTCACAAGCGTTGTTCTCAATGAGATACATATGCCATGTTAATCACCAAACTTCATGTAAACCCTTATTTATATCTCAGAGAATACTCACGTTAACATCAATTTTCGTGCTAGAATCAACTAGTTTAGTTCATAAGCATAAACTACATTTATTAAAATCTGACACTGCGCGTAATACTAGGGCAAATGGCCAATATATACCTTTATTAATCCCCGGAACCACCCAATACCAAAATTCAATTGTTTACAATGGTACGAAAATGTTCAACCATCTACCGAAGCAAATTAAAAATATTCATAGCACTTCGAAATTCAGAAGAGCTGTAAAAAAATTTTTAATAACAAGACCGTTTTATGATTTGAGGGAATTTTTTGAACAAAATTTTGAATAGCTGTGACAGCAGTACAAAATATGTCGTATCCATGTCTCTCACTAAATAGTGTTAAGGGTAGGTGTGTTTGTACATATTAACTGCCTGTATTAAGAAATCAAACATTTTATAAAATTATTATATGTGTTTACATGGGTCTATATGTGTGTATGTATGTGTATTAACATGACTGTATATATATACATTAAGTACATCCACTTTTAACATCCGACAATCCATATTGGTTCGCATAATTTTAATTTTATTTAATTATCATGACTTCTGGCTCATTTTAAGCAATTTGGATTTAAGATAAATTTTTCTAAATTAAATCTCAAAATAATTATTTCTTCCATCTATCTACACCGTAGCTTCTGATAAATACCTGCCGGAATACAACTACTTCCCTGTATAGATTTCGTTTCAAAATATTTATTTTCCAGTACGTATGTATTTCTCCTCAATACAGTCTGCAGACATTGGTAAATCGGTAAATGGGATTTCTTTCCCGCTTGAGGCTTTGCTCATGAGATGGAGCTGTTACTAGTTAACAATTTTTCTTTTTTTAGAAGAAGGTTTTATACAGGCAGCGGAGCCAAGTTGAAATTAACCGGGTACCAAGAAACTACTGTTTGGGTAGGATCTTTCCTGCACTGATGAACGGTAATACCTCGAAACAGGCTTGTAGGTGATCTACTCGAATAATTTCAGCTTAGTCCTGCTGATTGATGAACAACAAACACCTGCAGGGCTAACCCCAATGAGGTATCTTGCATAAATGACTGTCGTATATAATTCAATATCCAGCGTGGTATTGGCCGGGAAAAAAAAGTTGTTTTCCCACAGCCTACGGTGTAGGTAGCTGGGAGAGATTAATGTTTTCAAATTTTATTTCGATATATTTAATTTTGTAATCAAATTAAAAACTTTATATCCGTTGAATGAATATTTTCCACACTAAATTTGTAATAGTTTCCTTTGTTGTTCTGTGTATTTATTCCCAATTCTTACCTAGGTTATATTGTAGTCTGTACAAGACAGTGATTAGCTAGTATTTTATTATACACATTGATAATAAGCATGACATTTATATTTATCATGGACTCTTTTTCAGCTTGGTCCCAGAAGAAACGCTTCTTTAGATGAATGTCCGAAGGGATAATGAACATGCTTAGAGTATCTTGGTCCTAGAAAGTGACCCCGACTTTGCCATTCTGTAATGAACCAAAGTGAAGGCAGCATACAAATCAGGTAATTTTCTTACTTCAAATTGCGGTTGAATTTGTATGAAATAGTTCAATTGGCAAATTGAATCAAAATCATAATCATGAGAATAAAATATCAATAGTGCAATGAATGTGGCTGCTACGCCGCTGGTAGAGTCCCAAGGGCGCATGCCTGGAGAACGGTCTCCAGATCAGGGAACGGTGGGGTCGAACAGTCGATTGATGGCCTTGATTGTATATAAGTACATTAATAAAAGGAGTATAAACGTGATCGTACATGATTGTATGTATATGTACATAAATCTCTCTGAATACTATTGATGTAATCAGTCTGTAATACCTAAGTTGATGGATAAACTGGTAACTTATCACTTGGCCTGCAAGAATGTAATAATTCCACAACATCATGGTGTCTGTTCAGGTCGATCTACCATGACAAATCCTATAACGAGTGAACAACATTTGTTACGTGCTTTGGAGAAAGGTAATCAAATAGATTTTATATACACCAATTTCTTGAAGACATTTGTTAGGGTTAATAATTTGTTGTTATCAAAACTGAAAGCTCTTGGTTTCGGTACTGGTATCTATATATACAGGGCTATTAAAATTCGTTTCTGAACATGGGGATCTCGTAAACAATTAAGAGATAAGAGTGTCGGTTAAACTATGGCAAAGTTGCGTATTTTAGAGACCTATTCAATGATGTAGAGAAATCGAATATAGCTCTTTTGGTTCTGGAGATATACAGGAAAAACAAAAAATTCCAAATTATTTTTTTGTTTATACCTTCTTTATTAACAGACATATTGAAAATCTGTCCAAATTTTGCTATTGGCACTTGATACTGGCTGTCACAATATGTCCATGAATTTTTTATACAGAGTGTCATCTGACTTGGGCCACCCCCATCTTTGAATTTTTGAATACGGACCTGTATTTTTTGTTGTATTTTTTGTATCGTCGACGTTCACTTCATACTGAGAAATTAAATTGAATTTTATATTTCGGGATGTTTTGGTAATATTTGATTATTACTGTGTGAATTATTCCCTTTTGAATTACGGACCTGGAAATTGGTTGCCTGAGTTGAATAAAAACACAATAGCAACTTTCACGTCTCCTTATGTACCGTAGAGTGTTTGGAGAGTTTTTTAAAAAATTTTTGGTACCTATTCATTTTTTTCATTGCTCTGAGCGTTTTCTACAATGAATATTGAATAGGAAAAACTTTTATGATTATCCGAAACATATACACATCAAAAATATATTATGTGTTTTAATAAGCAGAAAAAAAATGATAGCAATAATAACATCTGAAATGAACACTATAATTTTAATGAAAATTGAAATGAAGTAATTTATATACACAAGAAAATTAATGCCGCAATAAATGTTGGAATTGGAGTCCTTCCATTTCGAGACAAATACTGGGCCAATATAATGGTCTGCAAGATCACCAGATCTTGCAATTATAGTGTTGGTTGTGGATATTGTTATTGATATTCTTTCTTTTTTTGCTCATCAAAACACATATCATATATTTTTGTTTTAGATATGTTTGAGATAATCATAAAAGGTTTTCTTATTCGAAGTTCATTGTAGGAAACGCTCAGAGCAATGGAAATATGAAAAATATGAATAGGTTTCTGAAAATGAAAAAAAAACTCTGTAAAAACGCTATGGTACATAGAGTGAAAGTTGCTATTGTGTTTTTATTTAATTAAATTAACCAATTTCCAGGGCCGTAATTTGAAAGGGAATAATTCACCCAATTATAGTCAAATATTACTGAAACATCTCAAATATAAATTGAAATTCAATATCTCAGGATGAAATGAACGTCCACGATCCAAAAACTACAACAAAAAATACAGGTCCGTATTTGAAATTTCAAAGATGGGGGTGGCCCAAGTCAGATGACACCCTATATAAAAGTTTCATGGACATATTCTAATAGCCCACATCAAGTGCCAACAGCAAAATGTGGACAGATTTTCAATATGTCTGTGAATAAAGAAGATATAGGCAAATAAATAATTTGGGATTCCTGTATATCTCCAGAACAAAAAGAGCTATATTCGATTTTTCTACATCATTGAATAGGTCTCTAAAATACTCAACTTTGCCACAATTCAACCGACACTCTATCTCTTATCATTTATGAGATCCCCATGTACAGAAACGAATTTGAATAGCCCTGAATAAAAATGGATGTTTGTCGGTTGGTTGGTAAATGATAAAATTTTATATCGCTCAACCGATCGTGATGAAACTTGACATGTATAGGTAATTTTTCATAGAGAAGGTTTTTAGGATATCAATTTTTCTGTAACTCGCCACTAGATGGCGCGGTAGAACAATTTTTTTGAAAGCACTGTTCTATAACGCTGCGCACTCCTAAGTTCATGATTCTGATTCTGTCAAAACATTGGAACACCAGCGATACAGCAACATAGTACTAGTACTACATAATAATAATAATTTTATTGACCACTTTCGGTACTTAATGTACATATGGCAAATCAATAATTGTAATATATGTTATATACATATAAAGAATGAAAGAAATAGTTAGTCATACTTGAATTAAAAGTCAAAGAATAAAGATAAAATATAAATATAAAAACATAAATCACGGCACCTGAAATACAAATGTTACAATTTAAAAACCTACTCAAAATGAATATAGAGACATGTCCGTAAAATGCAATAAGTAAACAAATATGTAATATTTTGTCATACATTTATATGTATAAAATAGTTTATACGTGTTTTTATTAAATTTAACTTATATTGTTTTCAAAATGCTGTTTAGTAATACGATTAAAAAGAAATACAAATGAGTGTCAAAAACAAATAAAATTTATATCAGAAAAAAACTAAGAAAAATGTACAGTGAGTACGTCCACCCCTGGCTCTAAGAAGTTCGGCACAAACGCGAGGCATGTTTTCCACCAAATTTCTTATTATTTGTTGTGGTAACTGCTCGTAAATCGTCAAAAGAGCATCTGCAACTAGGTTAAGATTTTGGAAGGGTTGATGATCCTTTAAACGTCTTTTCAGTTCATCCCAGAGCTGCTCAATAGTATTTAAATCCGGACTATTAGCTGGTCATCTCATGACATTAATATTGTGCTCCTGTAGGAAATTTCTCACGACCCTGGCTACGTATGGCCTGGCATTATCTTTTTGTAAAATGAACCCAGCGCCTATATTTTGGGCAAATGGGACGACATGAGGTTCCAATATCTCCTCTATGTAACGGACAGCCATTAAAGTCCCTTCCCGAAATACCACAAGGTCCGTGTGTCCTGTCAAAGTTATACCAGCCCATACCATTATCGATCCACCTCCAAAGGGAACAATTTCTTGCACACAGTCATCCAAATAGCGTTCACCGGAACGTTTCCATACCCGAACACGTCCGTCATTGTTGAATAACATGAATTTTTTTTCATCTGTAAACATTACATTGGCCCATTGCTCTAAATTCCAATTACGATGCTCTTGACAAAAGTTTCTACGATTTCCTCGATGAGCTGGAGGTAATCTAGGAGTTGTACTTCGTAAAGTCGGTTTTGTATCGTTTGGGTCGAAATTGGCGTTCCTGTAGCTTCTATAAGGCGATTTTGCAGTGTTGTAGCAGAATCGGTATGTTATGCGGAAACCCAAGCCTCTCTAACTTTATATATAAAAAATTTGATGAAACAGTGTCAAATGCCATTGACAGATCAAAAAAAAATACTAATTACAAAACTATTGGCATCAACTTCGGAGTATATGTTATTGAGATAATCATAGGCAGCGGTTTCTATGAAACGATCTTTTCTAATCCATGTTGATTATTACATAGTATATTATTTGACTCTAAATAATTGACTATTCTACTAGCCACCACTTTTTCATACAATTTCGAAAGAGAATAAAGTAATGAAATTTGTCGGTAGTTATTCAGGTCATTTCTATTTCCTTTTTTAAAAAGAGGAATGACTAAGGCTTTCTTGCACTCTTCTGGAAAATAGCCTAGCATGTAGGATTGATTCATTCGATAAATGAGAGGAGATACAATAAGGTCAAATATTTCTTTAACAACTGTTATTGACATGTCATCTGATCCACTCAAATTTTTATTTTTCATTAATCTCAATGCAGCATAAATTTCAGCTTCAGTAATCGGTCCATTCTCAAATGAGTGTACAATATTAACATTCGTACTGGTTGTACAAGGTAATGTTAGATTTTGACCTAAGTGTGTGGAAATAGCCGTTTCAGCAGAATTTGCAAAATGATGGGCAAATAGGTCTGCTACAGCAGAAGGGTGTTTAACCACAACTGATTCATGGTGGAGAGTGATAACATTATCAGCATAACACTTTCTTTTCTTCTCAACTCGTTGTTTACTATATTCCATGTTTCTTTAGTTTTGTTACTGGCATTGTCAATTTTAGTGGGAAAGTAACTAATCTTTTTTTGCTTGACGTTATTCTTGTGTTGTTTCAGCCTAGATTTGTATACAGCCAGCCATATTATATTTATGTTCAATATTGATTTTCAGGTAATTGGCTTCACAAATTTTAAGATGGAGCTGTGTAGTGCTTACATTCTGATGTTGGATGAACAGATCGTTTCATAGCGCAGATAGTTGTAACTGGATAGATGTCAAAAGTCAAAAAGACCATCAACGGAATGATTCATGCACAATCTCCAATCACAGAAGGTAACTCTTTGTCTATTTCAAAAATGTGTCAGTCATTACTAACTACATACTAGTTACCTTTCTGATAGAAGACAAGTAGTGATTATTAGCAAAGTACTAAGTGAAGAAGGGGTAATCAACTACGGCGTACCCCAAGGTACAGTTTTAGGACCAATACGCTTCTCCATTTATACAGTGCATTCCTTTAATGTTCCCCCCCTTTTATTATTTGAAGGGGTCAACTCAAAAAATTGAAATTTGGGATTGTGAAATTAATGCACGAATACTTTATTTTGAAGTAAAATTTACAGATGGAACTTTCAAGATGGCGACTGGGTGCTATCTGGGAAAAAATATTGAATGGAAAGGGGGGTTATGTGATACATCGTTTTGAAGCTCCTGACGAATACTTCACAACCCTAGAATATAATGTCAATATCTTCAACTACTACAAAATGGCGAATAATTGCCTGAATACATTGACATTTAACTACATAATATGAGGTAATAAGTTTGAGGTCCGTTCAGAAGATGCTCGACATGGTTGCCTTGAACTTCTTGACATATGAACAGCCTATCAGATATTTCACGCCAAACATTTTCGAACACAGTAACGTCAATATCTCTACAAATATTTATTATTCTCTGCCGTATATCCAATATTGAAACAGGTTCAGTTTTGTACACCTTTGCTTCAAACAGCCCTGCAAAAAAATTCCAAAGGTGTCAAATCTGGCGAGCAGACTGGCCATTCCGTAGGACCTCTATGGCCAATCCAACGACCGGGAAAAGTAGTATCCAAATAGTTTCTCACTTGTCTGGAGTAATGTGGTGGTTCTCCATCTTGTAGGATTACAATATCCTTATCGAATTCATTGTGATTCGCTTCGACGATTTCAGTGATGAGAGGGTCAACAGTAGTTTCCATCATATTCCATTATAGTTTCCCTGTTGAATTTTGATCAATAAATAGAGGTCCTACATACAATATGGTTTCCCAATATTCCTGCCCAAACGTTATTTTTTTCTGGATATTACGTATGTGTTTCCCGGAAAACGTGAGGGTTGGTGTCACTCCAATAACGGCAATTTTGTCTGTGAACATTGCCGTTTTGAAAAAATGTACATTCGTCACTAGAACAAATATTGTGGAGATAGGTAGGATGCCTTGCAATGGTTTCCGTCATGATTTCCCAGAATTCTGTTCTTTGATCAGGGTCATCTTCAGTTAATTGGTGTATCATTTTAATTTTGTATGGATAATACCTATTCCTCTTCAAAAGTCTCCACACAGTAGAAGGAGACACCTCACAAATATTCGCGGCGGAATAAGTAGACTGTTCATGATTTACTACCATTTCACCAATTATTTGCTCTTACTGTTCTTCCGGAATGGACGGATGACCTGGGGGCTTTTTTTCATGTACACTACCGGTAGTTATGAATTTTCATTGAAAATCCTTTCGGTCTCGTGAAAGATACGCGTCGCATCGTAAATAAAAATTGCTTCAATTTTTCCTTCCAATGGACGAGAATTGACCATTTTAGATATTGTTGACGTGGTGCTTTTCTACTAGTAAAACCGAAAACTAAATGGGAATATTTGAACTGAACAATGATGTTCATTGTTGTACTGACATTTTTGTCGTTTTTATAAACAAAAAATAACTCAACAAGCTTTATCCGGTGGTTGAAATTGTCATATGGCAGATAAAAAAATATTTCTAGAAATATCGATATTAATGTGTTTGTCTTCAGGCAAAGTTCCGCCATTTTGTAGTAGGTGAAGATATTAACTTCATATTCTAGGGTTGTGAAGTATTCGTCAGGAGCTTCAAAATGATGTGTCACAAGACCCTCTTTTCAATATAGAAATGTACTGTATATGAGAGGGACTACTTTGGAAGGAACAAAATAGAAATTGATGAATATTTATTAAAAAAAAATTAAAATTCACCAAATTTTTTGAACAGACCTCGTATATATTGTGTAGCAATCCTATGAATGCTATCTGATTCAGTTCCATACCGAATGATCTAAGTACAAACTGAATAGGAAAAAGTGTTTTTTGAATAAGTCAATGTCCATATGAAAGTTGTTGTTTCAAAAATATTTCCTTTGTTAAAATACATTGAATTTCCACAGTATCTCAATGGGGTGAATCAGAAGTTTGCACTTCCTACACCTGTATAAAGTTCTACTTTACAATTTTTATTTTTATATTTATGTTTAGAAAAGCTTTATGGACGAATAGATAATTGTTTTGTAAAGTCTCCATAAGTTCTTAGATATGGGGAAAATAAACTTGAGTATTTTTGCTGGTATCCATTATTTTGGTAAATTTTCTGAATAACATCCAATATTTCTCAGGAACGTTGTATACACTTCAAATTAAGTAAGATAAATACATTTACTGGATGAAATCAATACCAGATTGTATTTCTTGAACACTGATTCTTATTTCACATTGTGTTGAACCCAAAACCCAAAAGCAAAACATTCATAATGCAACACAAGGCTGTTTCAACCTGCCAAAGTAGTCTTAAGGAATACTAGGCTGATCTAAGAATTCATTGTTGACTGAAGTTTTCGGTTCTGGTTTCATCTAGTTGCTTCACAGTGGGACCTACGGAGAAAATGAAGGTTTCTCAATCGATGGTATTTGCAAGAGACTTTCGTGGGAATAGTTAGTTATCTTGGATAAGCCAATTTCTATTTATCTCATATTTGGCATCTTCATAAAAGTAGTTGCTCATCCTTACTTCTACTCAAGTTTGACCTTCAGGTACATTCGAGATAAAGAAAAGCAATTTATTTCCATCAGGAGTACCCAGTTGCTGGAAATGCTATTATTACAGAGTATGAAATAAATAATGAAAATAGGTTGAAAAAAGGGTCATGTCTAGCACCACCGATGAGAGGCAAGTCAAAACAGTGCTGTCTGTTTGGATAATGAATATTGGACTCCCGATTTCAATCATTGAGAACGGAATGTGAATCATTATTTGAAAAAATGTGCTTGTGTTGATTTCATCCTGTAAATGGATTTGTATTTCCTAATTCAAGTCTTTGACGAAGTTCCTGGGGAGTTTTTATCCGGAAAATTCACCAAAATAAACGTACAAGCGAAATCAAATACGAGAGGTCTGCTGAAAAAATGGGCTAAATTTTCAAGTTTCGCGGTCTACGTACAGTCGATGAGAGTTTTTTTTTTGTTTACTATTGTTGGTACACTGGTCCGAATATATGTTCACAGTTTCGGCTATTTCACAAGTGAATTAAATGCTCAAAAATACTTGAAATGTTGACAGTGGCAAACAGAAAAATGTTTTCAAGTAGTACAAGCTTTTCACACATGGTCTATAAGATTTAAATGACGACGCTCACTCTGGACGCCCCAGAACATCAACAACAAAGAAAATGTTGAGAAAGTGAGGAAAATTGTTACGGTGCATTGGTATTGGCTCTCCAGGGTTCTTCCATTGGGAAGATTGGACTTTGGTTTTGATGTCACAGACATATACCAATGATTTCCCTTTTAATCAAATCTGGATCGCCGTTGACTTCATTCAACAACTCTGAGCGATGCTTATGCGATGTTTTTTTACTTCGCTGCCACACGCTTCATGCCCAAAATTTATGAAAAAAATGTGTGGCATGTACCAACCGATATGCCGACATCCTCAGCAACTTATCTAATAGTGATTCGACGATTCTCCATAACAATTTTCCTCTTGGGAAAGAAAGATTTTGGCTTTCTACTACTCCATCTGATACAAAAAGATGGATGAGAGAATCTTCCAAAGAAAGGAAGGATTAATCAATTTGAAAATAAGTAACTCTATACATGGATGTGTAGATCATGCAAAGAAGTAACTTTCAGACACAAACTGAAAGAATCTTTCTTTCAGTTTGTGTCTGAAAGTTACTTCTTTGCATGATCTACACATCCATGTATAGAGTTACTTATTTTCAAATTGATTAATCCTTCCTTTCTTTGGAAGTTTCTCTCATCCATTTTTTTGTATCAGATGGAGTAGTAGAAAGCCAACATCTTTCTTTCCCAAAAAATTAATCACTCCTAAAAATATAACCCTTTCAAATCAATTTTCCTCTCTTTCTCAACATCTTGAAAATTTCAAATGGAACACTCTATATATTATATCATTTTTAAATTTTGCATCGAAATCCAAATCACTTCTGTGAACCATGTTTTATGCCTATCTCTCACCGTTTTTAAAATAAGAATCATTTTGTAATTTTTTTTTTGCATATGTCTTTCATATGATGATGATTACTTCTTAAAACTCCTGCTAGGTATAAAATGTAAAACAATGCTCTCATTTCTATTGGATTCGTATCATTACAAGTATGCTTATCCTCATACATTTCTCTGCGCCTATCAGTCATCAAATTTGTCCACTTGACAATATCGGCAATCACATCTTCATCGAAAAAAAACTGCCAACATTCTATTGGGGTCTGGCTCCACGAGCACAACCTTTAGGTCCTGGCATTTTTGTGATAATGTTCTCTGCTCTAGTTCGTATTCGTCTTGTAGAACAATGTTTGTACCACTTAGTCACATTATCTTTTCCTGAAAAACGATTTCCATTCAAAAATATTTGAAATTATGCATTACATTTACTCATACCCTTGAAATAATTGGTACCATGAAAAATTTTAGATTGTTCTATAGCTAACTGAGGTTCAATATTTTCTGTGTCAGAATGATCACTATGAACACTTAAATGGTCCAGTTCATTTTCAGACTCTGGTCCCCCAGCATCAGAGCTACTATCTTCTAGACACTCTTTCCAAAGAGCTCGCCATCGCTCACAATTATTGTGATGCGCTGATATATTAGATTAGATACTTCATGATGAGCGTTAATTAGCCGTTTCTGGCAAACTATTCAACGGATCAACCTGAAAATTCCACAGTATGCATAAGTCAATATGACCTAGACGAAGCGGCGTTGTCGCTTCCCCTATAAAGTAGCGGCTTCTTCGATTTTTCAAATATACCAACTTTTGATAATGATTCATTATGATTCATTATCACTTTGTCAACAAATTCATTTACTATTTCCCTATACCTATCTATTACCGTTTAGAAGATATAAATGAATTTCGATATTTTTTTACCAAACATGAACTTTTATAACTGCTGATAATCTTGAACTCTCTTGCACTAAAACGATCAAATTTAAAATGAAGTGGAGTGATACTATGAGGATCTTCACTCCGAGTCATATTTCCATTTGCCTCATACAGGGTCTTCAAAAAATGCAGATAATTTGATCTCATGAAAAAATTAGTGGAACTCAATTTTTTCAAATGGAACACTCTGTATATTTCATTATTTTTGAGCTCTACATCCAATTTTAGATTACCTTTGTTCAGATAATACTATTTCTATTTTGAACCGTTTTCGAGATAAACTGTTTCAAACGGAAATTGACATGGTTAACCATTCAAAGAATTCCACTCTACGAGGTAAATCAGTCTCTTTCAAATGTTGGACACAGTAGAACTTATAGGGATGCCGTTTATGCTTACTAAGAATTCGACAAATTGTCACGTAGGGTATACCTATCTCCCTTTCAGCCTCGTGCAGAGAAGCATTTGGAAATGCATGAAAGTATCCCAAAACTGTTATACCATTGTCATCATCATTCACTTTAGTCTTCTTACGAATGATTTTTGGTCAATTTATCACATTATTATTCGGCTTCGGAAGTTGTGGATATCTTTCATGAAATACTCGGCATGTTCTACTTGCAATTCTATTGCACTCACCATAAATTATTGATAAATTCAAGAAATCTTCCTTACTGTAACCTAATCTTGACATTATTCTATTATAATTGGTAGCTATCACAATCAGTCAAAACCACCAACGAAAGTCTGACGTTAAATAACACTTAAAAAATAATAATATGTAGGTACTGTTGTACATTAGAGACCAATACCTCAATGTATATTTCCCACTGCCTTGAAGGTGTCGAAGACAATACCTGTTTACAAAAAAGTTGATCCAGAAAATATTGACAATTATAGGGCAATAGCGGTGCTCAGTCCCTTTTCAAAAATTTTCGAACGAGCCATGTATGAGAGACTTTCAGATTACTTGAAAAAATTTGATTTGCTAACTACCCATCAGTATGGATTTCGAGAAAAGAGATCGACTGAGAGTGCTACGTCAAAATTGGTGCAATACATATATGATGAAATGGATGTAAATAATTATGTGGTGGGAATATTTTTTGATTTGTCCCGTGCTTTTGACGCGATAAATCTAGACATTTTAGAAACTAAACTCAATGTCCTGGGTATTAGAGATCGGGCAAATAAGTGGATAATGTCATTTGTAAGGCATCGGCAAATTTTTGTCAAAATTGAAAGGGAACTTTCCGAAGGTGAAGTTATCGATATTGGAACCCCCAGGGTAGTATCCTTGGACCACTTCTTTTTCTCTTATATGTGAACGACTCACCAAACTTCATAGGAGGCAGGTTGTTCATGTGTGCTGATGACCCCTCGATGGTGATTCTCATTTGTTGTAAGTAACATTCGTTTAATAATCACCCGTCAACTTTTTTTCCCTAAAGCGATCTAAAAAAATTATTGCCATTTTTAAAAATATCCTTAGACTTTTCCGATGTGTGTAGATAGGTACAGGGAAATAGTATATGAATTTGTTGACAAAGTGATAATGAATCATAATATGATATTATATACGGGGTGTTTCATTTGAAAACTCAAAGAAGCCGCTACTTTATAGTAGAAGCGACAACGCCGCTTCGTCTGAAATATTTTTAGACGTGTAGGCCATATTGATTTATGCATACTGTGAAATTTTCAGGTTGATCCGTTAAATAGTTTGTCAGAAACGGCTAATTAAAGCTCATCATAAAAAGCCCTGTAGGTACTATTTATTCACGAAAAATACAATCAAAAGCTGACGATACCCTTTTACAATTTTTCCAACTCGAATACCACGGTGGGGTATGACACACCCCGAAACACTTTCAAGACTTCTAGACGCTCCGAAGATAGTACACCGACTGGCTACTTGATGTGAATCCAAAGCTGAATGTGTAAAGTGAAGCTATAGGCGACTATGGTTGCATACGTGCAATGATATGTACTGGGCTTCAGAATCACTGAACATATGGGTATGTCATACCCCACCGAGGTAACGAAGGGTTAACAGCTTTGAAGCCATCCAAACGAATTATAGTAGGTACTTGTTAGGCAGAAAATATCAGATTGCCTTTTCTAGCCTTAAATCTTGTCAAAAGACTCTCACATATACAATGGTTGATAAATATGTAAGAAGTTAGCATTGGAGATCAGGAAAATTGAAAGGTTAACAATGTACACTGTTGCTGACTTTTTTGATGAAACATTTTAAATTGGATTCAATTCCAATACTAAAGTTATTACCCTGGTCTGATGTAGCATTTGATATGATGTATGTTCCTTCATTCATTATTTTCTGACTGAAAATGAATATAAAAGACATATACCTTACACAAGCTTGCCTTGCATGAGCTAAACAAAATGTCAGGTTACTGTTTCGTTTTTTTTTTGGTAAAATCCATAACTTCTGTAATTTTCAATTTTCATTTGTTTTACCTTTTATATATTTTTTCAATTAGTTGGATACCTTAGTGACATTCGTACATTTATTGTTTCCTGCTCTTAATAAGTTGTCATGGATAGGTTCACTAGAACCTAAATGACGGCTCTATTTTGTTGGCAATACTGTAAATTATGAAAAGTTGGTTGTATTTTGGAACTGTAAATAAATAATAATCATTATTATTATTATAATTCATGTTTTGTTATATGTATCTTTTTAAATTATGTTTATATTCTGAGTGAAATGTGTTTTAGTGTCTATTTTTTAAACTATTCAGAAAAGATATTATGCTTTGTCAATAAGAATTTTTGTTTCTCAAACTAATTGTTATTTTATAGGTTTGTTTTGTCAATTTATTGCAGGGAACATTTGGAAAACATAAAATCCTTTAAATCAAAAGAGTTATATTTTTAGGAGTGAAAGTTTTTGTCTTGCTTTCCCAAAAAATAAAATGCTTGTTTTTGAAATCTACTACTGGAATCAATGAAGTCGCCCCGGAGCGCCAATTGATTTTTATTGTTTTTTTAGTAAAATTTTCTATAATTAAATAGGAGTTATTTTTTAAATATTCAGAAAAAAATTTCAACAAGTGTGCCTGCACCATGTCAAAACAGCAACATTTCTATTCAAATTTAGTATTTTCCTCTGTGAAGGTTTCATCTGCGCTTTTTATTTTAACGTAGTGAAGTTCAAAAATGTCTATGACATTTTCTTATTGAAATAGATAAAAAAACTAATCGATACATTTTATTGTATGATTTTCACTATAAGGTTATAGTGAAAATCATACAATAAACTGTATTGATTAGTTTTTTAATATGGATTTTCATAAACTATCGGCCAGTTCTATTCAAAAAATGAATTTAATTCATATAATTTTTTCAGAATTACCACACAAGAACTGATGATTGTGGTCCTGTGAGGCGGAATGAAACATCAACATGGAGATACACTTCTGGATGGTGTTGGTGGTAGATCATAGACATGAATGAAACCCTGGGAATGAATTTATTTTACACTGATGTAAATATGTTATCTTGATCTAAGTGCGACATTTTTTCTCATGTGAATGATTGAAATAAAAGTACATGAATTTGTTAGGTTAGTACATCCTACAAAGCAGGATATTGGTCAAATATTGTATCAGATATCTATTTATAACATTCATCTGAGGTAACAATATTGTTACTGCTAATACATCCCTAATATCATAAATTGTGGGATGTGTTGGAGAAATATGTATCTGACTTGATTCTTATGTGTGCATTATTCTAATCCTGTAGCAAGAAAGAAAGTATTGTTGAGACATACTTTGTCATTGCTTCAACTGGTTAGTATAACTAAAACTGGAGTATACCTGTTTGGATATCTAATTTTATTATCCAAAATTTCGATTTCCACAATTCATCCATTACTCTTATGTGCTTCCATAAGTTTTTTGAAGCCAGAAGTTTCACTTTCATTAATTTCAAAATGGCTAGGAATATATATATAATTCAGTATTATTGAAAAAATTATATCAATTTATAAAGATGGGCTCGCCATTACTTTTTAGTATGACACTAGTTTTGCTTCTCACTCTCCTTTTTCCTCAGTATTCTGTCCGACACTGTGTTGAATATGTTTCTGCATTTTAATTTTCTCCATATGGAGGTTTCTAGTTATTTATAATTCGTTCATAGATGTTTGTAATTGCTGCTGTTTCTGCTCTTCATTGCCATCATTGTGATGGATGTTTTTCAAATCTTATATATTTTTCAGGAAAACAAATGTGAAGTTTTGTAATGCTTATATTGTATATCAGTTATGAAATATTATACTGGATCTTATAAAATGAAATATGTGGGTCATACTGAAATATAATTTGTTGGTCTTCAAATTGCAAGGTTTATGAACATTTTTCAAGAAAACAGGTGAAAGGTTGCTGAGTCAATATTAGTTACACAATATAACGCTGGGACTTATAAGAAGGAATATGAATTACGATTTGTAGAATGTGTCATCAAATTGCAAGGTTTAATGAATTTTTTCAGAAGATACGAAGTGTTTAAATGTCTATATATCATATCTGTTATGAAATATAACACCGGGTCTTATAAAAAGGAATATTTGCAACATATTGAAATATTATTGAATCTGTCTTCAAATCGCAAGGTTTATTGAATTTCCTCAGGAAAGCAGATATGAAGTGTTCGATGCTTATTTATTTATATATGTTATGAAATGTAGCACTGGATTTTATAAGAAAGAATATATTCCTCATACTGAAATTTCATTTGTTGAATGTGTCTTTAAATTGCAAGATTCACAAACATTTCTTAAGAAAACATGTGAAGATTGGTGGGTCATCAGTAACGAAATATTACACAGTCTTATAAGAAGACATATGTGCCTCATACTAATATATTATTTGTTGAATCTTTATATATGTCATACTGAAATATTATTTGTTGAATTCGTCTTCAAATCGCAAGGTTAATTTTTTTCAGGAAAGCAGATGAGAAAGGTTATCTGTTATGTAATATAACAGATAGGAAATAAAAGGATATTTCGTCACACTGAAATATTATTCGTTGAATGTCTCTTTAATGTTTATATTTTATATCTGTTATGGAATATAATACTGGATCTTATAAAATGGAGAATTTGTGTCATACTGAAATATTATTTGTTGAATTCGTCTTCGAATCGCAAGGTTCATTTTTTTCAGGAAAGCAGATGAGAAAGGTTTTAATATTTTTATTTCCTGTCTGTTATGTAATATAACACTGGGTCTTATAAAAAAGAATATTTTCATCATACTGAAATATTATTCGTTGAATGTGTCGTTAAATCACAAGGTTAACTGAATTTTCTGTGGTAAGCAGATGTGAGCTCTTTCAATGCTTATATTTTATATCTGTTAAGAAATATAGCACTGGATCTTATATAGAGGAATATTTGTGTCATACTGAAATATTATTTGTTAAATGTGTCTTCACATCGAAAAATTCAGAAACATTTTTCACGAAGGGGTGAAGATTGCTACTTTATTATATCAGTTACGAAATATAACACTGGGTCTCATGAGAAGGAATATGTGCCTCATACTGAAATATTGTTTGTTGAATATGTCTTCAAATTGCAAGGATTATTAAATTTTCTCATGAAATATAGCACTAGATCTTATAAAATGAAATCAAATCTCAGCATTTATGAAATTTTCTCCGGAAAGCAGATGTAAAGTGTCCAATGCTTATATTTTATATCTGTTATGAGTTATAGCACTGGATCTTATGAAATGAAATTTGTGCCTCGTACTGAAATATTATTCGTTGAATCTATCTTCAAATTGTTAGGTTTATTGAATTTTCTCAGGAAAGCAGATGTTGAGTGTTCAATGGTTATATTTTATATCTGTTATGAATTATAGCATTGGATCTTATAAAATGAAATATGTGCCTCACACTGAAATATTATTTGTTGAATTTGTCTTCAAATCGCAAGGATTATTGAATTTTTTCAGGAAAGCGAACGAGAAAGGTTTTATTGCCTTTATTTCATATCTGTTATGAAATATAACACTGGATCTCATAAAAAGAATATTTGCTTCATATTGAAATATTTTTTGAAGTCTTCAAATCGCAATGTTTACTCATGATCAGTTTGTGAAAGTGAAAGTATGTTAATACGCCACTGGAATATTCTCTTACGAATCAGTTGTATATGTATTTTCAAGAGCGGTTTCTTCATTTGTTTGTGTATAGCAGTTTTTTGTCATTATATAGGTTTTATGAAGATTCTTCTGCAGTCCACTAATTTTTTCTCTTAATTCGCATATGATTAGTTTTTGTTGGTCTATCATAAGGTTTATATCTTGTTATGCATTGTCGTCATTCAATTTTCTAAGGTATTTTTCTTTTGTTAGATTATCCTCATTCAAGTCACTGATAGTTCTTTTAAAACGCTAATATCTTCCGAATCCATATTTGAATCAGAATCGCCTTTACAGCAGTTAATTATATTATATTTCAAAAAGCGAACTTTTCCTTTAATTTTTGTCAAGCAACTCTTATGATGAATACCTGAACATGTACTGTATATATAGTAATTCATTGATTTGGTTTTACAACATTTACAAGACATATTTACGGAGATACTCTAATTCACTTGAGCACTCTTTGCAGGGTACGAACTCCTTCGGAATATCGGTTTTATTTTTTCTGAGTGTTCCTACATAAGATAGTTTTTTCTGAAACAATGAATGAACAAGATCAATACTGGAAAACCAATTATCGCCGAAAGCGAGCCTCAATGGCTCGCTTTCGGGCAGAACTATCGGTTTCGTAGGGAAAGCTCCTCCCGGTTGTCGCCGTCGGCAAAAATCCTCGATTTCTGCTTTTTGTTCCTGTTGGGAACAAAATTGCGATTTTCTTGGTTTCGGAGCCGATCTCAGCATAGGAGATCGTACTCGCATTAATAGCATCGCGCGAAGCCCTAATTGGGGTTCGCTTTCCGGTCTGGCTGGTGCATCTTCTCGGAGATGATGTCCAGTTTCTTGTAGTAACGTCTCCTGACGTTCTTTTACATTATTTTTCTCCTGGAAAATACTATTTCGTCGACTCTGCCGAGTATTAAATTCCCTAATACGATTCAATACTGATTGATAGGCCGAGTTATTACCGTGATTTGAGGACTCTGTCTTTTGTGTCATGTCGAGTTCTCTAACTACTCGACTTGCTGAAAAACCATCAATGCCCAGGGTTTGTCGCTCTGCGACCAAGGGAGAGGTACTGATGTCCTCGTTCGTAGAAAGAATACGCTGATTAGAACCTAGCCTCAGACTGGCTGATCCTACCGGAGTTTTCGGAATACTGTTTCCTGTGAAACCAGATTCCAAAGGGGTTACTTGTCGGCTCGTCGGAGTCGCACTCAGGCGGCTTAAAATGTCTGACAAAAAATTGGTTTGACCGAAAATTGTGGTCTCGCGATTTGGCACTGATGTATTTTCTGCAAGTTGCGCTCGCGTTTTGCCCTAGTCTGCATTTCGATTTCTAAGTTTCCCTAAAATGACTCTGACGAGGAAATAGTCAGAGGGAAGGATTCACGGAAATCTAATATTTTTAAGTTCATCCTTGGATCGCGAAAGCTACTTTCCTATCCAAGGCCTACCAGGTGAACTGAGCTAGTGATTTACCCTAGGATGAGGGCCGCTCGCAGGATAAGGTAGAAAGGTATCGTAATCCAGGAAGGTCCCAACGGTTAGATTGAGTCGTTCGCCCGAAGGACGTAACTAATGATGTCTTGACCCTCCCGAGTTTAATCTCGAAACACCTCGATCGTTCAACACCGCAAGGTGATCGGGTGGAGTGAGACCGGGCAACTTTAGTAGGGACCTGCTCTTTCTTTGCAGGATTTGGGCTGCTTTCCTCTGGCGGAGTGCCAAAAGGAACCTGGACAAACGTAAAGTATGATTAAGTACTTCAATAAGTTACCGAACCAATAATCTGCTCCAGTATAAGCTCTGTTGAATCCTGGAGTTTCCACAATCCTGGAATCCCTCGAATAAGTATCCAGCCACGATTATGTTCTCATTTATTCTCTATTGGTCCTAGAGATTCCTGATTCCAGTAAAAATTCTTCCAATTCAACTGTTTGATGGTAACCGCAGATCCCTGACGACTCCTGTGTTGTGCTTTGTCTCTATTAAGTTCTGAAAAGAACCAGAGACTCGAATTCATTCAATAAATCCCAACCGCAGCTTCAGACTTTCGAAAAATCTTCGGATTTTTAAGATCGCTGCTACCCGCTCGATGTTCAAACTTCGACTAACTATCGTGGCTTGGAAATCCGTATATTTATCTCTTCCGCGCCACTTTCAGCCAATCAGCGATCGCAAAAGCCGTGCGATCCTGCCTGACCTACTTTCAATATTTACACAACGAAAAAAACTCATTTCGTATGTATTTGCCAGCGTTTACGACCTGTTTTTCTGCAGGCGCTGGGCTTTGAAGTAGGAATACCGCTCTGCTACTTTCCATTGACGTCTATATGCCGCTATTTCTGTCTCATTCTTTTCGTGTATCGTTTTGCTTCCTCAATTTGCGTTTTTCGATAAA